CCACACTTCTGCATAGCGTTATAATTAAGTATGAAGGGTAACATTACTAATCTCATTTCATGGGCTATCCGCAGTCGGAATATAATATGAATGTAAAATGAGAATGCCATGGCTATCTACTCCTATACATGTGTATTATCTTCAAATCACTACACCGAATTCCATTAAATTTAGTTTCGTATGTGAATATTAAATACAGTCAAGCGAATGCAATTCTAAAAGCATTAAGGTCACTATAAACATCAACATTACAAGAAACTGAAACAAAACTGCATACAATTTATACAAAGGGTAAGGTGTGAAGGTGTCGCACAATAAAAAGGTGAATACGTCACATAGACGTCTCATATACTTGATTGAGGTCTGCAACTTTTACCTGAATCATTCTTTAATACGGTTTCTGAAGTAGTTTCAAGGTGAGATGTCTGGGCTGCCGATATTCTAGGGTGGAGTTACAAAGTTTTCTGACAATAGGTAGGTAGGACTACATCACGGGGGAGTGATATTTGGATAAACGACGTAAAACCTTCAATTACTACGATTAATTCTGTGTGATGAGTCCCATAGAGCATATACAATTTGTTTTCACATAAAGACAGAAAATTCAGATTCTGAAACATCGCGCACATTTATCAATATGATAGAAAAGTTGTCAGTCAAAACCAGAGATTATAATATATAATTTCTGTTACAGATTCTCTGCTCGCTGCTGCTACATACAGTCCTGGGGTTTCCTTACACTAGACAGACCGTTGTAAAGTCTGCCCGAGAAGATGATCTCATCTCGGGAACTGACTTTCTGTCAGTCTTCATCGGAGCCTCGAGACCAAGATCGGGGTCCGTCAACGAAGGCAGGAACTTCAACAAACGTCTTGACTCCGATACTCCTGAACAGTCATTCACTGAGCATACGACTGTGTTTGTCCCTCGAAGCGAATCAAAGGACAGCAACTCGTTGGAAGTGGAAGCACTAGTCGATTCATCGTCGATCCAACAGGGTAACTCCCACACGGAGAGTGAACAAGATACAACGGACGAAGTTTCTACAGGTTTATCCACCATTCACGCAGACGACAACGAAGCAATGGATAAAGAAGCTAAAAGATTACCACTTCCAAACGCGTCGTTGAACGTGAATGCACAAACTGTGGGTGCTGAGCCAATGACTGAAACTAACAAGGAAAATGATCACATCCCTAACT